ATCATCCAGAATTAGGGAATAAATCCGTTAAGAAGATAAAGATCAGTCCTAAAAGTTCCGAAGGATGCAATACTATTCAAAAGAAGAAGTATGAGTGTTTGAACTGCAAGAAGAGTTTTAACTCTTATCAGGCTCTTGGTGGACATAGACCGTGTCATAAAAAGGCCAACGCCTATCTCGAGTCAATAAATGGAACTGGTGAAAGTAGTGTCGATGACAAGAATAGAGAGACATTTAGCAGTAGAACACCAGCTTCTACTGCTAAAGATCTGTCTTACAATCCTGAGAAAACGATTAAGCCTAAGAAATCCCAAAGGCATGAATGCCCATTTTGTGACCGTGTTTTCAAGTCTGGTCAAGCTTTAGGTGGCCACAAAAGATCTCATTTTATTGTTGGAACTGAACAGAACATGAATCGATCTTCAGCAGTCAAGAAAGTCGATGATTTACTTGATCTTAATCTCCCTGCTCCTCTTGATGATGACGATGATGAACATGCACACCTTGTGTCTTGGTAGTTGGTGATAAACAAGGTTACAAGATGCTCGAGCATTTGGCAACGAGCTCGTTTCCAGATGGACAGAGACAATGCTAGAATGTATAGGCAACTTGGCAGGCAGAGTTGCTTCATTGTTTTGATACCATAGAGATAGTAGTTTTCATTCTTGCTGATCAGTTGAAAGAACCTCACATTTCAGTCTGATTTTTGGCATATCCAAAGCATATGCTTAAATTTTAGTTGGTTAAAAATATTCATTTCTTTAGCTTTGAGACATTCAAATTATATCTGTCTTTTCTTGTTAATTAGCTTATTTGAAAAGCCTAGTGATATCTTTGGTTTTGCCATTTGAAGAAGCTTATCTCTATTGTGTACTTCTTTGATGAAATTGTCATTCCCAAAGTTACAAATTGAAGCAAATTCACCATCTTCACTTAAGATGCTATCATATCACAACACTAATACACCAAATCCCATCCGAAGTTAAGCAAGCTTAGATAAGAGTAGTACTAGGATGCACGACCCCTAGAAAGTTCTCGCGTTGCATCCCTCCTTCAACACTTGTGGGATTATATTGGTTACGTTGTTGTTGTTGTTACACCGACTTCACTTATAGCAGGTGCAAGTAGCAATGTTCAACTACACTAACACAAGATTTATGATTGTTTTTAGTTTGAAGTGGAAACAAGTAATAATAATAGTCAACTACTATAACATAAAACTTAGTAAAATTCTACTTTTGTTGTTTAACATCTTAATTTTTGGAACACTCCCTTTACTATTTGAGTTAATTTTACGTATGGTCAGTGAACTTAAATTAAAGTAACAAATCCATTTTTAACTCGTCAAATTTCTGACATCAGATTATGACATGTAACTCATCAAGTGTACCTATTCTCTTTCTAGTAAAAAAAATAATAAAAAATTATTGGTTGAGAAAGATTTAAGGAGCACAAAAGTAGGAAATGGAGGTAAATGCATAATTTGTGGTTGTCCACTAATTTTTACTGGAAAATTAATAGATCTCATCAAAAGTTAAGAAAAAGAAGAAGAAGAACTTCAAATATTAGCCAAAAAATAGGCTAATTGTTTTTATTTGTATGCAGTCACGCGAAGTTAGGAGTTTCGCGTGACTGCATTAAGTTTGGTAATTATTTAGATGCTTTGTATAAAATTCAACTCACCAAGTATGGTGTTTGATTATAGTTCTACAATCCTATATAAATAGAATACACGGAAGTTATGAGTTAATTTATATATTATTTTATATAAGATAAAAAATAAACAATTAATCTCTACGTTATTAGTACCCACATAATTCTAACCAGCAACCAAACTATTTTTTGGTTCCTTTGTTCTGCAAAATCAGTTGGGCCTTTTGTACCAAAAGGAAAAAAGAGCCCACTAAGTTCTTTTATGTTTGTCTGATGGATCAACTAACGGCCCAATGAAGTAGTCACAAGTTTGAGTCTCGTGAGGTTGTTTGATTGGAAAACAAGTTATTTTAGAGCTGTAATAACGAAATTATAGTACGAGGATTATATAATAATGAAGTTAATTAGTGATATATTGTTATTGAGAGATGTTTGGTTCATTGCTTCTCTGATTCATATGAAATTAATACGATTTGAAAAAAAAACCTATTTCCTTTATTAATATAGATAGATGAGCTCCTTGATGAGTGGATGCACACTCGAAGGGAAAAAAGAAACATTAGATGCATAATATAGTAGAAAATATGACAAGACAAATAATTTTTCATTTTGGCACAACTTAAGAGGTATATATTTTTTACATGATGATAAAAGCAAGTAAAAGATTATTTCGATGGTGAACTAATTATATTATCCTCAATTATGCATATGTCAATCAAAGACATTACAACTTTATTAGGTAGCTAACTTTGTGGTCTTGTATTTAGAAGCTTCCCTTTTAGGTTAATTATTGTCATAATTTGGTATTAGTTTTAAATTTTAAATTTTAAACTTACACAACTTTTAAATTTAAACATAATCTCGTTTTGGAGAAATGACCAAACTTCTAACATGAGGCGTGAACTCCATCCGTTTGAACATACATTTAGATATTAGGACAATTTTTTCATCTTTCATCAGTTAAAAATGAAAAACACTCGATATGCGAAATCACGAACTATAAAATAAACACATCATTCTTTATCACTTATTATGATTTAGTTTGATTCTTTTGGTGTAGATTTTATCTTTGTGCTTTTTTAAAAAGTTGATTTATAAAATCAAGAGGTCCGTCAGTTATCTTAAACCAAACCAACATATTTCAACGTTGTCGAGTCCGTTGGTTTTATCAAAAGATATTGAACGGTCCGTCAATTTTTTGACCCTCGATTTTTTATCTATTCTTTTTTATAGTGAATGATAAATAGTCCTTCACTCTTAACCAAATATCTTGAATTCAAACTCAAGTGCTAGACATGAAATCTCCATTAGTGGTTACTGATCAAGCTAAAAATAAATTGAAGACCTAACTTTTAATTATTTTTATAATTTTTTATTTTTGAGATGCAATTTTTTTTTAATAAAAAACTTTATCTATGGTCTTATATATATATATATATATATATATATAATGTACCAAAATATTTTTTAATCTTGTGGTTTTAAACATATCACGTGGAAGTTAAATTTAAAAGTTGACAAAAAAGAACGAAACATTTTTCAATATTTCAAAACGAAGTAAAAAAAAGACATAATATACAAAAAAATTGTTAAAAAGTGCTTATGTAAATTTGGGGGTCTAAGGTGGATACCTTATTTCTAAAGGTATTGAGCCGCTCTTGAACGGTTAACGCTTTACCTCAAAATAAAATATCGAACACCGAATAAAAAAACTAAAAAGTAAAAACTGAAAGGAGTAACAAACAATAATGTGTGTGTACTTCACGCATGAATGAGGAAAGTGGTGAGAGATATATATGTACAGAAATTGTGTGAAAACGACAATAATAAGATAACGTAGGTTACAAGGAAAAGGTGAATTATAATATAAAGTTTTTATATTATGAAAAAGAAGAAAAAGGGATATGGTAAAAGGTAAACGTCAACTGACAATAGAGCAACTTAGAAATCCACGCAATTACACAATGCCGCCCAAAATATACCCTAAAAAGTAAAATCTACGACAAAAAAAAGTAAACTACTATAGTAAAACCAAAAAAATATCTCCATTTTAATTTACGTGATATATTTTCTTTTAAGTTGTTAGAATAAAAATAGAATATTGTAATAATGTAGCTTGATGTTATTGGATCAAGCTCAGTCCAATATTAATGTGTAGAAATTACTAAAATTATAACAACCAATAAATATGAAACTAAATGAATAAACAGAGAGTTCAACGCTAAGAATCTTAAAAATGGAACCAAACACTAAAGCACAAGCACATGAAATGTCATTTTTGGTGAATCATTAACATGTAGAAGCCTTTAAGATAATTGTAGCTTGTAGGTTTGATATATATAATTTTGTTATGTAGTCTTGATTAGGGAGGTAAAATTGTTCGATGCCATAGCAAATATTTGGGTTCAATTTCAAATTACTATATTTTCTTAATATATGTTTATGGAAATTCGAAGGACAAAAATTATATAGTCCGTCAGTTTTTTTAAAATCGATCCCTCATTTCCAACATAATCAAAATCATCAATTTTTGCTTTAGGTAAAAGTTAAAGCCGTCTATCGATCTTGATCCTCGGGAATTATCCGAGCTAATGATAGAGGCAAGAACACTTTTTGGCCAAGTCCAATTAATTGATCATAACAATATCGTGGAAATGCTACACAGACCAAAAATGCTAATTATTGTAGGAATGGCTTTATCCCAGACAAATTGAGTCCAAGCTTGAATGCCCGTTCGATTTCTTATCAATTCCCAACCAACTTTGAGAATAAATGACTCACTACAATTCTTTTTCTTTGATATTTTCTTTTAGTAGTGTTAATTAATACATTACACAAATTAAAACAGAAATATAGCAAATTGAGCTATTATTGTCACAATGGCAATGTAATTACAACGTTAATTAGGTCAGATTTTTCACCACCACCACCGCCCCCCCCCCCCCCCCCAAAAAACCCAACAACAAAC